GGCCAAATGTCTGAACGCGGTTTCTGGGACCTCTCCACGGTGATCCTCATCCGCATGGTGGCACTTTGTGTCATCGGGTGTTTATCGCTTGTGTGATGTCCTGGTGGGGTAAAAAATCCATTCCATCCATCCCCTCACTCTGTTGTTGTAAATATATATATATATATATATAATATATATATATATATATATATATATATTATATATATATATATATATATATATATATATATATATATATATATATATATATCTTAAAACCTGTAATACATTACCATCGAAATGTACCGTTTCCGCTGACAGACCCAACAGCCCCAGCTTTCCTCGAACCCACTATACCTCTCTGCCTCCCCCTGTCTCTATTTTCTGTTAAATGTCAGTGAGAAACGGTACAAACCATCATCATTTTTTCCATATCATTTTATTGATTTTGCTTTTGTTTTGTAAAGAGATTTGTAACATACGTTCGAAACAATAAACATTAAAAAAAAAAGACATAAAATATTTTTTTTTTTTAAAGTGTCAGCAAATGCAGAAAATAAACATTGCAGCTCATTCTCTTCGTCTTCATATTTCTTTTTTGGCGACTTTCTCATATTCTTAATTAGTACATTTTTCTACATATTCTTCTTGTTTTTTCTGTTTCTCATTATGACTCCTTTTTTTTTTTTTTTTTTCTTCCTCGGGTTTTTTTTTTTTTTTTTTTCTGCTTTTTTCTCTTCCCTTCTGCTTCTTCTTCTTCTCTTCCTCTAGTTACCACATCGATTTCTTGGTGGGGCGGAGTTGTGAGGACTGTCTGAGTGTTGGGTTTTTTTTTATAATTTTATTAAAAATTATTAGAGCTAAATAAATTTATAGAAAATAAATACGCTAAATTATGAATAGTTGCATTGAGACACGTTTTCCAGTTACTTCAACAGAGAGAAAACAGACATTCTGTTGAAAATGTCTAAGAATATCACACAGTTAATTAATCAGCGGATTGTTTGGAAGCTGTTGTCATGGAAACATCATGGCCTCAATCACGCAAGTGAAGTCACGATCAGTTGACTGACTTCTGAGGTATTAGCTCCAAAGAAAGCCGCTTGTGGTCGTCATTTGTCGATTTTATTAGCCTGCTGGCAATGACGTTGTTGCTGTGTATAAAATATACTGACAGAAGCTTGCTCTCGGCCTGGCCGCTTGTGCGAAGTGACATGTGTATTGTTGTTAGGTGAAACACTATCACCTGTTACCATATAACTGCTTGTTTAGTTTTCCTTTTGACGAGCCTTCGTGTGTGTTCAAGATCGTGGGCAACAGGTGTTTCTTAAGTGAAGGTCTAAATTCGAGCAATCGCTGAGGTATTATTTTCGCCAGATTCCTACTGGTCATAATGAATGGTCGTGTTTGTTTTATTCATTGCCGCTGAGTCACAACCTTTGGCAGTATATTTGCACTCAACTCAATAGGAATAAACTCACAGGGAGCAAGTACAGCAGGGATCTACCAGTCATCAGTAGAAGTTATCCTCGTCAAGTGTTTCGGCCCACGATTCTCCTAGACACTTTCGGAGGTGGGCCCACCTGAGTTCATGAAGCTCAGGGTTGGTACCCTGCTGCACGAAATTACCGGATGCTGATACACACCATCCATCGCACATTGAAATTTGCAGGAAGAAGGATAACAGATTAAAAAGAGTAAAATCCTGTGTGGGTCATACTGAGAACATTATTCATCAAGTTTGTTCAACTGAGGACATAAAACCGGCCTAGGAATGAGTACGAGTGCCACAGAGTGGGGTACATCCTATTCAACCTGCATAAAACTGGGTAGACATTGTAGACAACAAGGTCCATTGGCTGTGGAGGCAGAAGTCCAAGCCTTAATTCTTGAAAATTCTACTGACATAGGTACAGTTATTTACACTGTCGGATCCGTCGTTCGAAACGAAAGAGGTTCGTGGGCTTTCACGATTCTCGTCCAAGGGAGAACTGTAAAAGAAGGTAGCGGGGCTTTTGCCTCGACTACAAGTAGTCAGATTATGGAGGTGATGGTGGTAACAAAATCAACGATGTTGCTAGAGACGCAGCATTTTCCCCAAGCGTGCTTTCTAAGTGATTCAATGAGCATGCTAAAGAAGACAGAGACAGCTTGGATTCGAAGAAAATGGTTGGAGTCGCTAAGGAAATCTCGTCTGAAAGGAATTAGTTTAATTGTTGTGCCAGGACACTCAGGGGTAAGAGGGAATGAACGAACGGGTTGGCTTGCTGGCAGGTCCACGGTAGGTACAGGAAAAGCAATGGACCGGGCCGACATTCTCAATGCTCTCAGGGAAGCAGGACGATAAGATGATTTAGGAGACGATGTTGAATCGACTACACTCAAAAGACTGCAAGAATTTCAGGTCAAAAAAGATGTCGCAAACCACAAACACTATACAGGTAGTCAAAGAAGAAAAGTAAACCGACACAGAAGTAGTGTTATCAGTCACTAGGGAATATACTGAAGATAGCATCAGAGCGCTTATGGACTTTTCTGATGTGCAATGAAGATAATCTTGCGATTAACTAACTAACTATATTCAACAGTCTGGAAATGATAGACGTTAAAATATACCTATCTGGTATTGACTGACGATACGATACATTTGACTAAATCTAATAAACATAATGAATCAGTTATCTGGAATTTATGTGCGTAAAAATACAATTGTATGAAACCGTAATAAACTTTAGATATAATTGTATAGGCTAATGGATGTCAAAATAATTGACTCTGCCATGAATATTTAAGTAATAATTTATCTGGGATTTAAGAGCGTTAAGATATAAATGTTAAGGACTGGCGGACATTTGGATTCACTTGTCAAGGACTAGTGGATTTAAAGAAACAATTGCCTGGAACTTATTATTATTTACAAATAATTGTTGGAATATGGAGGTTAAGATAGAATTGTCTATGACTGATGGTTTTTATTTTTTATTTTTTAGAAATAATTCTCTAGAATTGTTAGATGCTTATTTAAAACATTCTTTAACTGCTGCATGTTAAATATAATTGTCTAAGAAATGTGGATACAAGATCTCATTGTCTGTACTTTTGGGAGTCAATAAACAACTGTCTGTAGCTTACGGATGTGAATATATACCCGGATCTTACTGAAGATAAAAGAGCCATGTGCTTCTCTTCAAGTTCTGCTGACAGGACATTATAAAGGGAATTATATATTACTAATACTATGCCACCCATCTCCATACTCAGTTGACCTCTCTCCCTTTCCGCGTTAACCAGCTGTCAACGTCGTCGGAAAGTTCTAGTTGTTCGTCCACTTCTGGATTCTAATCCTGTTCCAGAAATTCCGTGTTCGATGCACAACCGTTTTACAATCTGACTTACTTGTTTGCGAAATGTTGGGTCCTTGATTCTCAGGCAGATGCACTCTAAGAAGGAAGCTTCCAGTTAGTCGACTCTTACTACATGATTTTGGATAGCAGTGGGTGTATTCTTGTCCCACCCTAGCCCCCCATACCCCCCCCCCTCTTCCCACAGTTTGACACTGTAACCCACACATGTAAAATTCTGGTGACCGACTATGGACCTCTAACATGTGAGCATATATTTAGCATTGCAGCAAGTTCAGTCATACCTAATTAATGTGTGTGTGTGTATGTCTTTATCAGTTAGTTATTGTATACACAAGAAGGGGTAAAAAAAAATCTGATTATTTGTAGATATGTCGCTGTATTTAAAAGGGGGAGAAGGGCTCAGGGGTTCGTACTGAAAGCCAATGGAAAATCATTACTGCAGGACAAACTAGCATACGATAGCACAACATATAGCATAAGAATGGAGGTGGAGGTGGAGGCGGTCACTGCAGCTTTTCGGTGGCTAGAGAACAAGATGCATACACATGTCGTAATTATAAGAGACTCTGAAAGCATGCTAAGAGCACTGAATATAGGGTTTCTTTGTGCAGAGTGGCAAACTTCACTTGGAAGGTCACAAGTAGAGAGCATACTTTGGATCTTTTCTTCAGGCTATGCCAGCGTGGTGGGAAATGATCAGTCAGACGGATTTGCTAGATCTGCACCAGTGGATGGTGAACTGATATGCGACAAAGCAGATGTAGTCAAGGCCCTCTGGGAACAAGTAACGAAGCTAGAAGAGAAAATGGTTTATTATGACGTGGAGAGAATGATGCACCTGGGTGTGCCCAGAGGGTCTGGCAGGTTTACTACACTCAGAGGAAAGGCATGTGGGGCATTTAACCAGACTACGAACGATACCATTAGGAACTCTGCGCTGGCTGCTGAAAAATGGGACGGAGCGCATATGGGAATGCCCCGAGTGCGGTGATATCAATTCTTAACTCAACTCAACTCATACATATACTAAACTTTTTTTTTATTATCTTAGGAAATATGACAAAAGCAAATCACATTGCCTAAAGCAAAAAAGCAGGTATAATGTATGTAGGTGTGTGTGTATATATATATATATATATATATATATATATATATATATATATATATATATATATATATATAATAACATCAATTATGTGTCCTTTACAAGACGATGCAGAACCAGTCCCAGAATTTTTTAGTTGTGTGTGATTTTACGAGGTAAATTTTACGTTCAGTAGTTTTCCTACAGTCAGCTGTCGAAACCATTGTCGAAATCAATGCACAGCTGTCTGCTGTCAAATCCCCCGCAGCTGAATTGAACTGGGTCTCTCAGACTAACAAACCGTGTCCTTAACCACAGGTCCCGACACAACATACCGAGAAATATCAATATAAAGGAAAGGTTTATGTTATGTGGGCAGTTCGTTTTACGCTAACCTGTATATTATATCTGTGTTCTCAATTTGTTTAGGTTGTTAAACTATTATATTATAGTTGTGTTTTTTTTTTTTTTACATGACAGGTAACAAAACCTGTTAAATCATGGGCATCTGTTTTGTACGGTCACAACTAATACTCATCTGCTACTTCTGTAACTCCATTGCGACATCGATGTCTCGGAATCCTCCTTCACGGGCCCTTACCAATAGCAACAGATCTGTAGGACAACAATTGTTTCACAATGCGACGGGAGCTTCAGAATTCCACCAACACACGACAAGTCTAAGTAGTCCTGACGACGGATTTGGTCTGTTTTTCCAGAGTAATGAGAAAGAGATGTCGAATGTCCTAGTAACGTTTGAAGCACCATTGCCAGTTTGGCTACAAGGAACGTTTGTAAGTAAATTTCACATTAACGTCTGGAACGTAAAGTATTATATGTAATCAACATTTTGTGAATTGCAAATTGATCACTTCCTTATCAGAAAATCATATTCAGGATAAGCAAAAAAAGTGCCTTAGAAATAGTTACAATAATACCCTCTACCGTTAGAACTTTTCAGTCTTTCCAGACGGTAATGTTATATTATGCAATTGTAAAAAAAAGTAAAGATCCCTTAACACGCCTTTAGGCGTACCGGGCATATGGGAAGAGCACCCATATTTTTACAGATCATCAGCACTCGGTGGTTAATGTGGTCAGCATTACGCCGGCTGTCTTTACTTTCCCAGGACAGCAAATCCTGGTACCCATTTTAGGCTGGGTCGACCTGCGACGCCCCATACCATGATAAAAATCCATGCAGCCAGCAGTGGGTTTCGATCGCGATATGCTGGATTACGAGTCGGACTCGCAACGCCTAAGCCACGGACGCTTATGCAATTGTAGGGCAGAGATATCACTGCTCATGGCTATGGTTAGTGTGCCTAGCAAGACCCGCTGACGTTAAGAAGGGATACTTGATACCATCTGGATAGAGTGGGAAGAGAAGATCAGGAAATGGAGAAAGAAGAAGGCATAGTAATAGGCAGGTTGCTCTGAGTAGGGTCAGATTTTCCTATCTGGGCACAGGGAGAAGAAAGTGTGTCCCTGTCTACTGAACTGGACAGCAGACGTAATGCATTCACGCATGGTTGCTCTTTGCCTTTGGTACATGGACCTCAGAACCATATAATATCGCCCTGGGATTATCCCAGTGAATCAGGTTTTGGAAGGATATTGGCATTTGCACATGATGTTCTTTAATATAGTAGACTCAGTGACTGATTGGTGTGCAGAGATGATCAACTCAGAGGAGGCAGATGTTTTATGGTGCTCTCATGACAATCAATAGAGTTGTAAGAGCTAATGTTCCAAGCCTCACAATTAATAAAATAAATATCGAAAGAGAAAGTAAACTGAGGTACCTGGGTATCATTTTAGATATAAGCCTATCCTTTAGGGCTCATATGAAAGCAGTTGCGGTAAAATGCCAAAACAATGCTTTCAAGATTATGACAGCAGTGGACGTAGAACAAAGAATGCTGTTCACAATGTTCCAGAATTTGATCCTGTCGGTAATTGATTACGGACAGTGATAGATTATGGACTTGGAATGCTTACCATATCAAAGAGTCAGCTGATGAAACTGGAACGCACACAGAATGAAGTCATGCGGGTAAATATGGGATGTACAAGAAACAACCCAATAGTACGTAACGATATATACTTGCACTGCCTACTATTGCAGACAGGCTCAAGGTTTTGCAAACAAATTCAAATTTCAGAGTAGCTGCAAACAAGAAGCACCTCCTGCGTAAAGTCACAGACTGAAAAAAAGGAATGTCTTGGATGGTGCAAGCTAAGATATTGTGCAGGCTTGATATATTTTTGCGAGGAGAGAAGTTGGTCAGAGAGTCCGAGTCAGAATCACACTTGTGTATGGTTCTAATCTTTTTATGTCGTGGGTGCAAAGACTGGTTGGCTAGTACTGCAGAATTGGAAGTTCAACAACAGTGTCATGACAATACCTGCCCAGATGATATGATTATTTATACAGATGGCTCTGTGCTGAGGGGCAGACGAAGTGCAAGGGGGTTCATAGCAAATTCGAATGGAGATCGCTTAGTGCAGCAACACCTGACCAACGATATCACAATTTTTAGTTTAAGAATGGGGGTGGAGGCAGTCACTGCTGCCTTCAGCTCTCTTAAATATCAGCAGTACGGACATGTAGTAATTGTAACTGACACACAAATTGTGTTGAAAAAGTAGAGACAGGCGTGATCCGTGCAGAATTGCAAGCATCGCTTCAGAGGTCCCGGGTGGTTAGCATCTTTTTGATGTTGTCTCCATGTATCACTACTGTGTTAGGAAACGAGCATTCATATAGATTGGCCGGTTCTGCACCACTTAGTAGTGAATTGATATATGACAATCTAGATGTTAAAAGCGAGAGAACAGTGCAAAAGCACAAATAGACCATTAGGGTCTGAGGAAAATGTCGCTGGGGGTGTTACCAGTGAATCTGGCCGTCGCTCTACACTCAAGGAAAAGGCGAGATGGATGTACAATCAGACACTTACTAGTATCATCGGAATTGGAACTTTTCGCATGCTGCTGAAGATGGGAAATTAGCGCTTATGGGAGTGTCCCGAGTGCTGTGATGTCGATTTTCATTTCAACATTTAACAGTCTACCACAATACGAAAGTGGGATTTCAGGACCACTTTTGCCATCCTAAGCATTTTAACGTGCTTCTCTCCTGGCGTTCAGCTTTAAGCTATCAGCGAACATTCTCATTTATCCGTATTCCTTTCATGATTACCCCTGCCCCCTCCTTTCTACGTAATACGAATCATCCAACACTAAACTATATCATTCACCCCATCCTCCTCTCCTTAGCCTTCACTGCATATAAACTTAGGAGAACATTTCTGGCTGTTCGCTCACTTCTGAACCTTGGACTGTTTTTTTTTTTTTTTTTTTTTTTTTTCGAGAACATGCACCTAGCGTAATTTAATAATTCCACCGTACTGGTGGCGTCCACTTAAGGCCCTATTATGGGGCCATATTTATTTCAGAGGTTCTCAAACATTTTTCACCGCAGCACCCTTGTGGGGCTGAAAAAAATTTGCTGCAGAACTAAACTCAAAGTGCTTGAATACTTAGGGGAATTAAAAAAAAAAATTAAAATAAATTTATGGTGCAGATTTAATGTTCAGTTGTCTTTAATGCGACTGATATAAGTGTTTTAATTAATTTGTCATTATATCTTTTTCATTTTTATTTTTAGAAATTTTCTTTATCCTGAATGATCCTCCCTAAAGAGATATGGCGCTGCGTTCAAAGATTTCTTAACTTTTATGTGCTAAATCAGAATCATTGCATTCCAGATGACTCTTTAATTTGGACGGAACCAAGCAGCCATTAGGAACACTTATATGTCAGTTTACGTATTGCCCTTCCATTGCCTGTTCGTTCCCAACCGAAACAAAGTCAAACAGGAACGAATGCAGCCAAATTCGCATTTCAGTCATCGTTCGCTAAGCTGTTCGTTCGATTTGATTTAAACGAACCTTCATATTCTCTTTAGCAATAATTTCAAATTTGATTTTGACAAAGACACCATGAAAGAACGAAAAAATGCGTAATTTATCTCTCTCTCTCTCTCTCTCTCTCTCTCTCTCTCTCTCTCTCTCTCTCTCTCTCTCTCTCTCTCTCTCTCTCTCTCTCTCTCTCTCTCACTCACACACACTCACACACACATACACACAAACACATACACACACACACACACAAACAAGAACGAAAACAAAAAAGAACGCCTTGCCTATAAATATAAGTGTTTACTTGACGAGGCTAACAGTTACTACTCTACAGACCACATTTTCCACCTTGAAATTTCAGCCAAAATGTAATCACACTTTACTTATCCACAGAAATTTCACGAATGTAGGTAGAGGATCCGTCGTACCTCGAGATAAATACAAGGACAAATTTTATCACGCTGCGGTTGGCATTTTATACAGTATGATACACGTTGAGTGTAAAACAAGGAAAAAAAACTCTTTTCGACAGTGGCGAGGAAAGATAACCTAAATTTTAACTTTTAAGTATCTTCATGGCTTAATTAATAATGTCACAATTTTTGGCTGACTTTTCTTGATTTTTGCGGCGGCACCCCTGGCATACGCTCGCGGCCCGTGGCACCCAGTTTGAGAACCTCAGGTTTATTTTATTAGGTCGGGATGCAGAGGTTCACCATACCCAGGGGCATGATAGAGCCCCAGAACCTGCGCTTGTACTGATCAAGACCTCTGTACATATCTTTAAAATCAGTCATCTGAGAAACATTTTCTCCGGCGGGGGCCTAGCCAGCGTCAATATGATCGATGTTTCCTTCTAGTGTGGGAGTACATCTGCATGAGAGTCAATGAATCGGCAGTCGCATACAAGTTATACATGTACACGCAACTTCTAAGTCCTGAAACACGGCCAAAGTCGAGAAATGGGCGAACATTCAACACTTTTGTCGAAGTCTACTGTCGGTGAAAGCGAAGAATAGGGAGACGATTTGATCAGAACAAATGTTTGTTTAATATCTATTCTTCAGTGGTAATTTTTAGACACTTTAAAGGTAATATAAAGTGTTAAAGTAGGTATAGAAATTGGCATTGCCAGGTCAAGTGATACACGATGCGGAAAATACCCTCTCATCCCTATACATACACACATATACAAAACACTCAGACATTTTGTTGAAAAAATGTTTGCCATTGCGTCACTCACTCAGTGATGAAACCATGTGCGCCCGCCTTCCCCCCCCCCCCCGCCCCTTTTTTGCACGCCCCTTGCTACGCCTCTGGCTATAGAACACAAACATCTGAAGTAACAACCTTACGACCATTAACTAAAACTAATAAATCCGTGAGGCTGTGGAACTGCCCTTACGGCGTTTTTTGCATTTCACTGCAAGATCTTCCTGCAGAAATTTACTTTAGGAAAGAAAGATTTTCCTTAGACAATTACATAATGCTGCTACTATTTTACCAGTGCCTATATTCATTTTGAAACACGTCGATCCCTTTGTGAAATCATGACACTTTACATTGCAGTAACTTTTATTTAATTGAAGTAACGTAGTTTTATTAGACACGATAATATACGAAGTTAAAACTGCAATGTTCAACAACAACAACAACAACAACAACAACAACAACAACAACAACCAACAAACAGAAACGCATGGTTATCCAATAGCGCATTTTTATTAGTTGACAGGAAAGTTAGTTAGTCATTACTGTTCTGGCTTCACAGCAAACAAGCTTGGTCCATAATTGCTCAACCGCCTATGCCAGTGATTCCTTCCAGTCACAAACTGCGTCAGATACGCTGGATACTTAAGTGAATGACGTAGCCATAGGGAGTGTCCCAAGTCACCAAAACATACACGATTTGATCTGGCAAACCATAAGGTGCATGCCTCCTTAAACACACTGTGAGCCTAGGCGTCAACGCTGAAAAACAACTTCAGTCAACGAATAGCTGGGCGATGAGTAGATTAAAACTATTTATGACAATTCTCCACATGTCCTCGGCAAAGCTGCAGTAACGGCCAGCAAATAAATAGCAGCTATAGCACACACCTTGTCCCAGGAACACAACAAAGAAAAATACACCACCCATCATTGCCATTATGCACAAGTCTGGAACTCAATCAACCGATAATCACAGCTCGTAGTGCCACCAGAAGCACTAAACTCAGTAGCTCTGGCTGCAAACCGGACTTCTACAGTCTTGCAACATTGAAACTGCAGGTGAAACGGCGACTAGAACGGTCAATATTTGCAAAGTTCTCAACCGGCATTTATTTCCTATTAATGTCGGAACCGGGCAGGAAATCCTTCGCGCAAAAAAAAAAAAAAAAACCCGAATGCAAAAGAACTGTCAATTGATTGGTTGAAGGCCATTGAACAATTCCACAAAGTATATATTATACATTTTCTTATAATTATAGTATAAAGGACCGTGTTCATGTAACTTTTGTGTTACAAATAATATCATGATGTATGTTGTATTTACGTGCATTTTTGCTTACTTTCCCTAATATAATACATCTTTACCTTCAGGTACGCAACGGACTTGGATTGTTTGAAAAGGGGCCTAGATCGTTTCTTCATGCATTTGACGGCTTCGCTAAGCTTGCTAGTTGGAAATTCATGGGAAACGAAAGCGCGCTGTTTTCTACAAGATTTCTCAGATCCATGTTCTATAAATCATCAATGGATGCTAACACTATAACTCCGTATCTTTTGTTTCAATCAGTTGATCCTCCTTTTGGATACATTGAAAAACTGCAGTGCCTGTTCAGAGGGATTGATAATATGAACGTAAACATTGTTGCTTTTCGAAATCCAAAGAACAAACTCACAGAATACGCTGCACTGAGCGATTTTTGGATCGTTTACAAGGTAACCATAGATAAACTTTCTACAAAACATAGGGTTATTCCAAAAGTCACCAAGAGTCGCAAAAGCTCTGTTTCAAATTTAGATAGCACAGGATTTCTCAACCTCTTATCGTCTTCACACCCTCTCCCTGAACCTGGCACAAAGAACCACTTGAACTTTCTCTCCAGCGTGGCTGTCTTGCCTTGGGGAAACAGTATGATGAATCTAATGAGGATTAAATCTCTCAAACGACGCAGTGTTGTAGCTCAGTGGCCGGTTGATCGTGTCCCTTATATGCACTCTTTCTCTGTAACAAGATCAAAAGCTATTCTTCTGGCTAGCCCTTTCTATGTTAATGTCATGTGCATGGCCAGAAAAGCGGAGCCTTTCTCTTGTCTGGACTGGTATCCCAACGACCCTTCAAAGCTCTATATCGTGGATCTGAAGAGTGGAAATGTTACAAAAATTACTGTGAACAATATTTTCACTATGCATCATGTTAACGCCTATGACTTGGATAATAATAGCATCATTATGGATGTTTCTTCATACCCTTCGCCTGAGTTCGTCAGTCATCTCCAACTTCATGTCCTCAGAGATCCAGTGAAACGCAATTCCTTTGCTGCGCATGCTCAGCTTAAACGAATTTTCATCGATTTGATTAAAAATGAAGCTCGCGAAATTCCACTTGATCAAAGCGCCCCACCACGACTTGCCTCTCTTTTGGATATGCCGGTGATCAATGAAGCGTACAGATCCAAACACTACTGCTTTGTTTATGGTCTTGTCCTTAAGGCAGACAATAAAACGCTCAGCAATATTGCTGTAGTTAAAAAAGACGTGTGTCATGATGGGCAAGGTGACAGAATTTGGCAGCTGGGCGGCCATTATCCGGTAGAGCCATGGTTTGTTGCTGACCCTCAAGGTATTGATGAAGATGATGGTTTGTTACTGGTTGCTGTACTTGACGGTGAAAGAAAACAGACATATCTAATCGTATTGGATGCTAGAACTCTTACACTAACCAACAGAGCTGTAATGCCTACTAATATACCATACTCTTTACACGGACGATTTTTTCCTGGAGTTTGATCAAGACCTGTGATCCTGTTATGGACTCAGGAATGGGTGTATGATTGAAGTACACATGAGTTAGGTGACTTATACGATTGTTAGCGTTGTTATGAAAGGCGAGCGTTTGTGTGATTCGGTGTAAGTTCACGAGCTCGGTGATTAACGAGAGGCTGGATGTAGGTACACAAGCATAGTAACCGTTCAGAGAATAAATACGGAGAGGCATTTTTTTTTTCAACTTCTGTATGTTTTAACCGCAGTGTTTGTTTGCGGAGGGAGCCGCCATGATGTAGCAGCTAATCGCTCGCCTGTTAATCGGAAGTCGTGGATTCGGTTCATGGCGTAGCCAGATTTTTTCCATGAATGACCTGGCCACCCAGGTCGCCCCAGCTTTGAGTGTGAACCAGGTATAGTTCTAGGAAGTAAAGGCGGCTGGTGTGATGCTGGCCGTATCACCCGTCTATAAAATTTAGCTCTTAATGTCCAATACGTCAGAATTTTTTTTTCAAGGTCCTTTACTTTGTTTTGTGTACACCGGTTGCAATCTCCGGCGGAAATTTATGGTAGTTTTAGGACCTGGTTTTTGTATGCACCTGTTTTATAGATCTGTTATATTTAAATGCAGATTGTTGGTTCTCGACCTTTCAGACAGCTGTATTCTGACGTATAAGGTATTATTTATAGTTAGTTTCCACCTACGACATGCTTGTTAGAGGGCAGTGAGTCAATTCTTTTGTTTCCTCCAAAATGCAGACCCGGAAGCCACACGGGGATTTACCACATTAAAATTTTGCACACATGACCTTAAAAATGGTTTCAGTTAGTAATCCTCTTTTCTTTAAACTGTCAGGTTATTTATCTCGTCATCTCCTTGTGGGTAGCCATTTTTAGTTATTTTGAAGCCGCACCCTGGCTTTTGTCGGGGGGCCTTAAACATGGCCTAACGGCTGAACATGGTTTTTAGGACCTCTCCACGGGTGATCCTCATCCCTATGGTGTCACTTTGTGTCACCTGGTGTTTATCGCTTGCAGGATGTCTTGGTAGGGTACAACTTACTTACATAAATACAGTCAGGTTTGGTTTACTTTTGTTGTACTGGTGTGTTTAAATAATTTTGTCGGAGGTGCCCAAATAGTTCTCTGGCAGAAATTAGCGCTTGTAGATATTCTATCAAGTATGTTGGTAATGTCATACATCTAATACTGATTGATCTACAAGCTCAACGTCTAGCATCATGTGCCGGTTGTAAGACCATGACGTCTTACAACGATGTTCTTTAATATAGACAGGTTGTAAGACCATGTCGTGAAAGAAGCCCTTCGCCGCCCCCCCCCCCCCCCCTCCTTTTTTCCCCACACAAACACCATTGTTTTCTGATCATATAACTCTCAAAGAGTTTCTGAAAACCCCCTCTACTACTGTCTTCACATTCTCTGTCATTTCACTGTTTATTTGTCAGCATTTTAGCTAGTGGTCAATAAATGCTAGTATTTATGAGCCAATATTATAACAAAATTCAGATGGTAAAATAGTAGAACTGAACAAAACCCGCGATGGCTAAGCTCTAGACTTCTTCTTTTTCTTCGTGTTCACCAGCTGTAAACTCTGGCCGAAAGTTTTGGGTGCTCGTCCACTTCTGGACTGCAGTCCTGTTCCAGAACCTGAGTGTTGAAACAGGACTGCAGTCCAGAAGTGGACGAGACTTCTGAATCACATATTACTTTCTGTGCTTATTTGTCTTCACCTTCACTGAATGAGAAGATTTGCTTCTAATTTAGAAGTAGAGCATGCTTTGTGTATGTGTTTTTGTGTGTTGTGTGTGTGCATGTAAAACTTCGAAAGTGCAATTGCTGTATACTTTTGAAATATGTATCAAACAGTTGAAAAATTATAAAGTACTTAAACAGTGTCGAATTACTTAACAGATTTAAAGGTCACATTACCAGTGTTGTTTCTAATTATGTTGTTGTCTTTCTGTAAAATAATTCGTATAATTTTAGAAATGGCTATGTGTGTGTGGATGTGTGGGTGGGGAGGGGGAGTGAGGGTGTTCGTGTATGGGGGTGCGTGAGATGGTGTGTACATGGAGAGGGGGGGGGGGGCTGTATGTGTTTGATGGTGGTGGCTCCTTGTGTGGGTGCCTAAGAGGGTATGCGATGTGTGTGTGTGTGAGTGTGAGTGTGTATGGTGGAAGACAACAGCTAGACGTGCAGAAAACGGTGGCAAACAAACAGAGATAGTATCCTTATTGATGAAATAAAATAATACAAAAATTTCAGGCACACACACACACACACACACACACACAACATTTTGTTAAAAACCAAAAGTTATTCCTAAGGCATCATATAATTATTGTGCTAAAAGATAACAAGCCATGATGTAACACACGCGATTAAAATAATTATCTGTACAACATTAATATACAATTGTATACCACGATATATAAAAGCGTGGGGCGCGCTTGATTGCCGTGGCACACAATTGTAGATAAATGTTGTAAAAATAATTTTTTCA